ATATATTAAATATATCATTCCATCCTGCCGCTGTTTCAATCTGAATTGGCATAACCCCTTTCCAAAGGCTTAAAAAACTCTTTTAAAAAGTTCCTAGAGAAAGAATAACATAGGATTTGCACCTGAATGGAGAAGCTGGCATTGCTTAAGAGTGTAGACAGTTCATTTGTTAGGACAGGAGAAAACTCCCAAACCAAGCCTGTTGTCATTGCGTTGATTCCAGCTCATAGTCCACTGCTATAGGACAGCGCAGGGATGCCCTTATAAGGTTTTCAAGGCCTTGATCTTGACGAAAGCAGGCTGCTGTGTCTTTCTCCTGCAGAGCAATGGGTGGGTTCAAACCATCGACCATTTGGTTGGCAAGCAAGTGTTTAAGTCTTGAACCAGCAAGGTTATTTCATCACAGTAGAGAAAGTGCTGATGCTCCAACATTGAGAGGTTTGCTTCCATGTGCTCAATGAGATGAGAAGCAAAGGCAGTAGCTGTGAATGCGGAAGAACAAGGGGGGTTGGGGTATTGAGGAGGAGGAGGGAAGGTGACCTGAAAAGACCAGCCATGCAAGGATTGCTGAGCGTTCCTGAGGGTCCCCTTGAGCTTTGTGGTTAGGGACTTAAAGTGGGACTTGTCAGCACCCTTGTGTCGTTTTCAACCAGGCACCCTCAGCTGGTCTAGTAGAGAAGGCAGAGGGTTGGCTCAGCCTAATTTTAGGACAGTTGTGAAGGGGATGGAGGCAAAAGGGATGAAGTTGTAACCAAGAGTTTGTGCAGTGATGGGCTTGCAATCTGTGTTCCTGATGGGAGGGAGAAAATGCAGAGTAGGGGGGAGGGGAGGTCACAGCAGGAGGCTGGTCTTTTCCCTCTGAGTTTCCACCCTGCCTTCTTGGAAAGTACTCATGATTTCACCAGAAAAGCCAAAGGAAATGCACCAATCTTGCTTGCAGCCTATCAATAACCCTCTTTGTCCAGAATGCCTTTCTTTACTTTTCTCTCTTCAGGTGGTCTTTTGTTTATAGCTGTTTACCTGGGCACTTGGAAGCACCTCCTCCTTCTTTATGGCCCCTTTACTTCTCTCTCTGCAGAGCCCAGGGTTCACATACTTGCAGGGCAGGCTTCAAACACAGCTCCAGCCCACAAATCCTGCTGGGGAGGCCCGTTCCCTCTGGTGCCCCACCTCTTCAGAATGGCATGCCAATATGGAATAGACTGACTGTATCTCATGGCATCATTTTTGCTTCTGTGTATACTGGGAGATCCCAATCTAAGGACAGGGAGGGGTTGGAGTGGGAAGTGCACTGTGTTCTTCACACTGCACTTGTTCGATGTAGAAGCACTCTCTCCTCTGGGTTTGACATTCACTGCGCATTCTGATAAGGAACTTGGACTAGAACTCACTTCCTTACTTCAGCCCCAGTGCTTTGTTTATGGCAAAGCGCTTTATCACATAGGTTGTGTGTCTCTTGGGTTTGAGCCATCAGTTACCTCCCAGCCTCATCAGGTCTAGCAGCCTACCACCCTCCTCCAGGGCCCAAGATCAGACTCCCAGAGCCCAGCCTTTGTGGTTTCTGTAAGGGAAGGAGGAAATTTTCTACCATATATGCTCGAGTTTAAGCTGATCAGAATATCAGCCTAGGCACCTAATTTTACCACAAAACTGCATAAAATATGTGCTGAAAAACTCGGCTTATACTTGAGTATATACAGCAATTCCTTTACAGGTCTCAGCTTTGAATGCTTGACCCCTTATGAACCTTTTTAGATGTCAAATACTTTCAGCTTATTTCCTTTGGAATGATCGACAATAATACCTAAGCTCTTTGCTGGGTCCCAACTCAGCCTTTCTAGCACTTCCTTTTGGTTTTAAACATGCAGATTCCAACTTATAGCAACTCTGTAGGAGTTGAACTGCCCCCTTCGGGTTTCTGAGACTTTACATCTTTATGGGAACAACGCGCCTCATCTTTCTCCCAAACTGTGTGGTGGGTTTCAACCACTGACCTTGTGGTTAGAAACTCAACGTGCAACCCAACTGGTCTTGGCTGTGTTTTCCTATAGGTATCTCCCTGTCTGAATGTCTTACTTGGCTGTGGTCCACATTAAAAGTCATCAGCTGTTCGGTGCCCAAACAGATCCATAAGTGTTACCAGCCATCTCATCCCATCCGCTTGCTGCTTTATATCCAGGAAAAGTTAATGCCATTCCAAAATTGTAAGGTTAAGAAAAATGACATCACTTGGAAACAAGAAAATATAGCCTCGGCCTGATCTCCCTGTCACTTTAAAATTCCTTAAACTTTGTGCTAAGCGGATGACTCTGGGAGCTGTCAGTTTCGATTCACATGGGCTCATTGCTGAGGGCTGCTTGTCAGGTGCTCCCAGACCCTTCATAGGATACTCTATAAAGAGGCAATATCAGTGGTGACCTAAGCCCCAAGCCGTGGGGGGACGCTGGCAGGCCCTATGGGGATCCTTGTGGGACTGTGAAAGGCCATGGGCAACAGACTAACTTGGCCTGCTGTCTCATTCATTTCCTGCTGAATGGCTATGTGGCCTCAGTCAAAATGGGAAGACAAATGATCACATTTATTCATAAGCTGATTGCCAGACTTATTTGAAATTACACATTCAAGGTGGTTAACGTAATGCCTTGACCCTTGTGTGCTTATTATATAGTGTTAACATGAAAAGTAAATCTATGTCCCTATGTAAACCTGTGTGGCCTTGAGCCTTATCTCTGAGCCCCTCTGCCCATCAATAATACTGGACTAACTGCATCCACCTGTCAATGTTCACCTGAGGGTGAATGAGATGGCTTCTTTCTTAAAATCCCCAGCATAGCTTCTAGCACCTTTCAGCACATCACGTCCGCTAAGGCATTTGGTAGAGATTTTACCAGAAAGATGTATCTGGGTACCTAACTTATTTAACACAGGCTCGTTAGTCAGATGTAGAAGAAAACTTGAAAACACTTCCAAGGTGCCAGGGAGAAACTACTTGGAAAAGAAAGCTTGGAAGACAAAAAGAAGAATGTTCCTTTTAAAAAGCAGGCGGCAGAATCCCATCCTATTCCAGTTGCTGGGACACATGGCAACTGTGGCCAGTTTTGCCCACGAGAAGCTGCCGTGGCCACTAAAGAGAACAGGGGCCTGTAAACAAAGGCAATGAGTTTTTTATGAGCATATAAGAGGAAGTAATTGCTTATTGGTTTAAATGGTGAAGTGTTCAACTTCACACTTGAAGGCTGGAGGGTAGAGTTCACCCAAAGGTGCCTCAGAGGAAAGGACATCGACCAATCTACTTCCAAATTATCAGCCATTGAAAACCCTATGGACCACAAGTCTACTCTGACAGGCGTCTCTATGACTCAAGTCTGTGGTTGTTAGGTGCCAGCGATTTGGTTTCCACTCACAGCAAACCCTACACACCCTAAGTACACGCAGCAACCCTAAGTACACTAAGCAACCCTAAGCACACTGTGGTAGTCTGTGTACTTTAGAGAAACAAAGCCACAGAAACTCCTGTATAAGAGAGAGTTTTATATAAAGGTGAGGTGTGCAACAAGAAAAGGTCCCAACCCAGTGCTGCCCAAGCCCACAAGTCCAACATGAACCCATTAGCCCATATGTCCAACACCAGTCCACAAAGTCCTCCTCCATCTCACAAAACAGACACAACAATGCCGCCTGCAGGAGGAAAGCCGAGTCTGTGAATGTGTAAGCATCTCAGCGCTGGCAAGGTTCTCCACACGGGTGCTCCAACACCCAGGCTTCCATCGGGTTAAGTTTATCTGACTGATAAACTTAAGCCATATCATTCCTCTTCTTAGCGGTACCTCAAGTGGGTTTTGTGTGGTGAAAAGTAATTACAATATATCTACAAATCAAAGGAACACATACTGCAGGCTCAGATGCCTTTCTCCCCAGAAAATCCCCACCTCAATCACCATTTGCTAATGTTTTATGGTATGCAAAGCTTTTCCTCTTAAAGATGGAAGGATTTAAGAATAAGTTCTATTCAGTAGATAGAGGAGGAATAATACTGCTTAAGTTTATCAGTCAGATTGTCACAATAAACTAACTCACACACTAAGCAACCCTAAGCACACTAAGCAATCCTATTTACACTAAACAACCCTAAGTACACTAAGCAATCCTATGTACACTAAGCAACCCTGAGCACACTAAGCAACCCTAAGCACAACACAATGAAACACTGGCCAGTCCTGCACCGTCCTCAGAATTATTCTTATGTTTGAGCGCATTGTTGTCACTATACATCAGTCCAGCTCCTCAAGGGCCTTCCTCTTTCTCACTGCCCTGACACTTTACCAAGCTGATGCCCTTCTCCAGGGACTGATCTCTCCTGATAACAGGTCCAAAGTCTCTGAGACCAAACCTCGCCAACCTTGCTGCTAAGGTGCAATCGGGCTGTATTTCTTCCAAGACACAATTGCTGGTTCTTTTGGCAGTCCATGGTATTTTAAATATTTTTCAACAGCATGCATGGATTTTTCTTTGGTCTACTTTATTCAATGTCCAACTTTTGTGTGCGTATGAGGTGACTGCAGATATCATGGCTTAGGTCAGGTGTATTTCAGTCTTCAAAGTAACATCCTTGCTTTTTAAGATTACTCTCTGACAATGAGTTCCTAGAGTCAAAAAGCAAAGCAGCCCATTCATGGTAGGACGGGGCCTTTTGGAGTCAAACAAAACTGGGTTCAGTTTGGGGCTCCATTCTTTCCCCATCGGAGTTCCAGTTGTTGCATCTGTCCAATGCAGATGATCACACCTAGCGTAGCGAGTCCTTGTGAATATATAACATCATTGTGTGAATAAAAACTCTAGCCTCCGTTCAAGGATAAAACACAGAAAACTGAAATGGATAGGAAAGAAGGAAGGAGGGACATGCTAAATTTACACAGGAAGAAAGAGGAAAGGGTGTTGTTACATTGTAGGGCCTGCCATCAATGTCATGAATCAAAATGTGTATGAATTGTTGAATGGAAATGGGTGCAATTTCCTCTGTAAATGTTTGCTCAAATCACAATAAAAAGTTAAAAAAAAAAAAAAAAGAGCCTAGCGTAGTGCCTACCCCATGGGAGCTGCAGAAAATTCTACTTGCTTGATCCTCCTCTATCTACTGAATAGAACTTATTCTTAAATCCTTCCATCTTTAAGAGGAAAAGCTTTGCATACCATAAAACATTAGCAAATGGTGATTGAGGTGGGGATTTTCTGGGGAGAAAGGCATCTGAGCCTGCAGTGTGTGTTCATTTGATTTGTAGATATATTGTAATTACTTTTCACCACACAAAACCCACTTGAGGTACCTCTAAGAAGAGGAATAATACTGCTTATGCTGCTTATATTTTTCCCCTTTATCCTTCTTTTTTCTCATGCAAATCAGCAATATTAATCCTTTGTGACTCATTGGCCTCTGGACTATGGGAAAAACCTGTCACCTGGCTTGTTGCCCCTCCCCCCCGAAAATAACATAATTGTTAAGAACTCATCACTTCTGAGCGCAGCCTCAGCCCTCTCCTTGATAGGGGCAATAACCCAAGCAAACACCATTAGATGAAGTTACAAGTCTGAACATAGAGTAGAGATGAAGGCATTATTTGGACAAGATGATTGGAAACTCCCTATAAAGTTGCCCCAAATTATTATAGACAGAATAGATTTTGGATAGCACTTTTTGGGCAAGCTATGAAGTAGCCTGGTCTCTAGTTCATCTCTCAGTGGTCCTCACCATGGCCTGGGTCTCAGCATTGGGACTTCTTAACTCTGGCTTCTCCTCCCGAGGCCAAGTCATTCTTCTTTTCCATGTCCCTTCAATGGGCATCAGGGAAACCCCTGTGGGCTTTCTTTGTCACCACTGCTGAAAGGTGGGTAAAAGACACACCTTAGTACCCGGCTCACTGTGCTCTTCTTTGTCCTTTTGTCCAGGTCCCAGCTCCTTAGAGTCGCCAACAAGCCTGCCTCTGCCTCCTCCTGACTCATTTGCATGGAACCTGACCTGGGTCATGAAAGATTCCTTCCCGTTCCTGTCTCACCGTAGCAGATATGGTAAGTATATTTTTATTGTTATCTGCAATGTACCATTCCCAGCTCATATTTAAGGAAGCTGTGAGTTCGGGTTAGTGATGCATGGCTCTCCCCAAATCCCCCAGCTCCCATATGCAAAATAAGTAGTTTGATGTTCTCTGTCTCCCAGAGGGACCTCACTCACCAGAGCCCTTCAACCAGGCCTGGTCTCTCCAGACTGGCAGCTTCCAGGTGGAAGCCAAGGGCTTGGTTGGGTCAGTATCCCATCGTTGCAGCTTTTCAGGTCTGTGGTATTTCCAGCATTCCTTGGCCAGTCATCAGATGCAGTGTAAACTTGCAATATGACTGTGGCTTCCAGGTATAGGGTTCGAACTCATAAGTGATTCTAGGGTTGGGATCTCCTAAGATAGGATTGGTTTTATGGGGCCAGAGGTCCTCTACAACTCCTCAAGGGACTCCCTTACATTTTAGATAACTCCTAAAAGGGACTTAAGGTGGTTTGATTCTGCAACAACCTTTAAGGTCGGGATGTTAGGTCTCCTTCTGGTTTTACAGATATCTACACTGAGTTAATTAAGATTGCACAGTGAGGGTTACTTCACTCCTAAGCCAGAATTCTTTCCAGAGTATACTTTTTTCCTCCACCCTTTCTTTACTTGGGCTGCCAGGTTCAAATCCAGGAGCCCTCAAGGAGGGTATGTGTACAGAGTGTTGTGGTTGTGCGCCATTGAATCAAGGCTGACTGATGGTATTCGGTGCCTTTGAGACAGTTCTGACGTGCAGCAGCCCTTTCTGTAACCGAACAAAACACCCCCTGGCCTGCACCGTCTTCACAGTGATTCTCAGGTTTAAACCCTTTGTAGCAATCACTGTGGCAATCCATCCTGTGGAGGGTCCTCCTCTTTGGGGAGGTCCTTCTACTTTGCCAACCATGTGTCCTTTCCCAGGGACTGGTCTCTCCTGATAATACACCTGCAGAACCTGAGACCGTGTTTCCCATCCTTGCTTCTTGGGATCATTCTGGCTTACTTCTTCTAGACAGGTTTGTTTGTTCTTTTGGTAGTCGATGTATTTTTCAGTACTCTTCATCAGCCCCCTAATTCAAGGGCATCCCATCTTCAATCTTCTTTATTCAGCGTCTTTCATATGCATACGAGGTGATTGAAAAGACTGTGGCTTGGGTCAGGAGCACCTTTGTTCTCAAAGTAACATCCTTGTTTGCGGTAGTTTTAAAGGGTCTTGTGCAGCAGACTTACCCAATCCATGTGTCACTTGATCTCTGCAGTGCTGCTTCCATGATGAAATCCTTTCCACCTTAATTCTTTCTCAGTTTATCATGATGTGACTTACTGGTCCAGTTGTAAGGGTTTTGAATTTCTTTACATTGAGTTGTAATCCACACTGAAGACTGACATCTTTGATCAGCAAGTGTTTCAAGTTCTTTTCACTTCCAGCAAGCAAGGCTGTGGTAAAAGTACCTCACTTTTATCAACTAAGGTTGTTAGTAAGCCTTCCTCAAATCCTGATACAATATCTTCTTTATATAATGCAGCTTCCCTGATTTTTTGCTCAGCATACAGACTTAACAAATATGGTGAGATGGTACAACCATGACACACATCTTTAAAAAAAATAACCAGGTAGTATTCCCTTGTTCTGTTGGTACACTGCCTCTTGATCCATGTGCAGCTTCTGCATGGGCACAACAAAGTGTTCCGGAATTCCCATTCTTCTCAAAGCTATCCGTAGTTTGTTATTGTCCACACAGTCAAATGCCTTTATATAATCCATAAAACACAAGTAAACATCTTTTTTGGTGTTCCTTCTCTGCTTTCAGACAAGAACACAGACTCATGATAACTCTACTCAGTAGATTTCCTCAGCTGCAATCTTTATGGAAGTGGATCGCCAGGTCTTTTCTGCTGCAGAGCTGCTAAACGGTTCAAATGACCAACCCTTTGGTTAGGACCTAGTGTTTTAACCATTGTACCACCAGGGCTCCTTGTACATAGTGAGATTTTCTCATTGTCAATGTTCATCCTAACAGCTCAGGGTTGTGGGGCTTCCGAAGAGGAAAGAGCAAGCTGGTAGAGAGAAGACACGTTTCCCGGAAAACATTATTCTTTCCCTTGAACCCCATGAGAGCAGAGGCTTAGCTGTATTTGCCCACCACTTTGGACCAGACTCGTGGAATGCAGAATGAATGCAGAGGCTACCAGGGGTGGACCTCATTCCTTAGGCTGGATTTAATTATTTGTGAGCTTCACCTGTACCCAAGTCACACTGAGTTCTAGGTGCCCCTCTGGCATAGGTACTTAATTCTTGCCACTTAATCTCGGCCCTAGGGCCTGAGTACTTAAAATGCACCTAACAGGTATCTTCCACACACTGTACTCCAAGTCCCAAACCTGGCATCTCCCATCTATAAAGCAGTTTGTCTTGGTTCATATTAATGGTACCTTTTGTTTTAAAAATCTTTAAAAAGGCAGTTTAGGATGGTACAATTGACTGGGATGCTCCTTGCCTCTCCAAAGCATTCCCAGTGGGAGAGGAGGAGCAGTAGTTCTCAGGACACCCCAGTTTAATTTACTTCTTGGTTTCATTGAAGCCAGACACTGAGTGCCATTCTTATAATAAGGGTAAGTCATTGAGATCTGGTCCTTCGGATAGTTATTGCTTTGTAACCAGATTTGTGATACAACTGGTCTTCTGAGAACATGCTCACATTGACTCTCAAAGTCATTCAGTGTCTCTCCAGGATGACAACTCTCATCAAATGCAGTATGTACACGCAAGGTAGACCGACCTCCACAAGCCAAGAAGGCAAGCCATTGACTCCTTGGGGGGCATCCTGAAAAAGGAGAAAACCATAGGACTTTATTGCACTACTTCTCATTGCTTGACTATGATAAACCCTCTTTCTCTTCCTCTGCCCCAGTCTGTAAATGAGAGTTGCAGGTGGGGGTGGGGGGACAGGATGCCATCTGGGGCAACGGTGTAGTACTGGAGGGTTTCCAAGATTCACTCCAGACGCTCTTTGTGGGAGGACTGAAGCCATTGGACAAATTGGACAAATACTGCCGGAAGGCTAGAGGAGAAGGCCAAAGCCAGCCACATTAACCTGGGGAGGGAGAAGTAGATTCTTGACTGGTGTTCCTTGATTGAGTGTGCTGGTAATTTCAGAGCCCTGTCACCCTGCAATCATATTTTATTCAACTGACACTCAAAACGGCATCTCTCCACTGCTGTGGGCGTCAGCCTGGGTCAAATGCTAGAGGTCCATCAGCATGAATAAATTGCCCTCGCTAAACTTGAAACCCAAGAGGTACACACCTTGCTGTAAAGTCCGGTCCGTCTCATGGAAACCGTATGTGTTACAGAGAAGAATTATGCTCCATGTTTTTTGTTTTTTTTAGGTACACCTGATACACCAACTTTTAGGTTAACAATTGAGTGCAAACCATTTGCATCGACCAAGGGCCCTTTCAGGGCTCATGGGTGAGAGAAATAATTTTGAGGTTGTTAACCCATGACCACACCACCCAGAGCACCTCTGAAGGCTGACTATAGAAGCAGAGAGGGCAAGGTCACTCCCCAGAACTTATTGCAGAGCAAATTGAAGGTGGAGTTCAGGCCAAGACTCCTGTCCCTTTAAGGAAGTTTGTCAGGGCCCAGGCCCATGGGTTTTTATGAATCAAAGAAGCCATCAGGCTTATGGGTGATATATCCATACCTTTCAACAGCCTTGAAAGACATTTTAGGAAATGTTAACAACTTCATTAATTTTAAGGCCTCAAACTTGGGGAGAGAAATTTGACTGGGAAATTGCCGCCTAAAGGGCTAGTTCTTCAGACAGTGAGGGAAAACCCAGGCTCCCTTGATGTGGGTGCTTCAGGCCTAGCGCACTGAGCCTGCCTGCCTGGTTTAACCTGCCTTCTAGAAGGGGCTGTGAAGGGCATGAGAGAAAGGGGTCATCCGATGGGTCATAGACTACTTGTGGACACCAGTGAAGAGTCCTCTGAGCCCAGCTGTCCAGACCTGAGTTGTGCCTGGGTTTCTTCTTATAGGACTAGTTTATGAGTAGAGGCATGGTGAAGAGAGGCAAATAAGATTTACTCAGCCCCAGACTATAATTATCTGTTCGAGGAAAGTTTGACCTACCTTTTTTAAGACTCCCCATATTCTAATTTACATTGGGACCTTTTAGGTTGTGTGAAATATATTCTTTTCCAGCATTTGGTACCACATGCCAGCCTCCGCTCGTTGGTTGTCTTCAATGACAAGGCCTCTAATTCCATCATCGCAGACACATTTCTCCCCCAAGGCTTTGATGCAAGAGGACATCTGAAGAAAGGTTTTCCCCTCCTTTTATCATCAGCTCTGACACCTTTAGACTTATTTATAGACTTGGCTGAAGGATTGGGATGCTAACTCTTTACCCAGATAAAAACCTGCTCCACGCAGCAGCAGCAGGTGCTGAGAGATTGAGGCCGCTGACGACTCTGAGGGCGAGTTTTGATCACCTTGACTTACAGCACCACAGCAACAGATCGTATTCTTCCCAACTTTCATTCATATGTGCCTATCTGCTGGGAGAAAAGGGTCAACGTTTTCAATAGAATGTCCAGAGATTCTGTCCTGGATAATAGAGAAAGATAAATTTCATTTATTTTAAAAAACCAAAGTGTGAAACCTTGATAAACTCTTCCATGCTCATATTTTTTCATGTAAGCTTCGTTGTGTAATTGTAGTCCATCGACGTTACTTTGTATTCTTTTTATTCAAAGATTTAAATGGTGGACCAAAGAGGTTGATTAATAGGCTCATGAGGGATGGTGCAAGTGAGCAATCTGAAAAGACTAAGCTTAGATATTTTAACTCCATGTCAAATTATTTCCAAGTTGAACTTCCCTCCCACATGGAGGACTTCCTGAATAGCCTGATCTTTAGACTAAATATTTGAGATCTTAGGCAGCCATGGCACCCATCAAGGCTCATTATCCCTAAATTGATATTCTCTC